CTACTGTACACTGGCAAAATAACATAAGCAACTGCTCTGGTAACCCTTGAGCAAAAATATTCCACTTTTATTTTCGCAGAGCCTGATATAAGCACGGATTTTGCCATTTTCACACCCCAGTATCATTATTTTTATCAGCATTTTGATTGCTTTCTGTATAGTATTATTCATTTTCATTTTTCCTAACTAGCAAACTCGAGGCCAGGAGTGGTATGCCAAAAAATACTGAATCCGTTGACGGATTTGAAGACCCCCCCCCCAAAAAAAGAAAGACACTTAAAAATAAAAGACCACCGTTAAGGAGGGGATCAGCTCTTAACTGTCACTTTAATTCCTGTTATCTGCTCACCTGATTCTCCACAGCCCCTGTTGAACAGGACTGAAGTCTCTTATCAGACAACGCTGTACTTCAGTTAATGTTATCAGTAGTACCACTGAAAGTTACTCGTCTAACGTTAACTCTTCAGTTGTCGGTATCAGAAATAAGGTTTTGTTTTTGACTGTTTCTGTTTATCAGTCAGGAGAGTGGCCTTTAAGAGACTAGCACAAGTCCCTGCTGAAGTACTGCGTCGGTCTTCTGTGGAGTAGAGGTTGGCTTGGGTAAAACAGTAAGGCACTACATAGTTTATTCCCCCAAGTACAGCTGTGTGGGTTTACAGTCTGTTAAGCCCGGTTCTCCCAGTAAACGTTTCGATTGTCTTCCTGGATATTAAGGACATGAGGATCACGGTGGTGCAGCGGTTAGCCGTGGGTTCAGTTCCAGAACTGGGGTGCTGTCTGCGTGGAGTTTGTATGTTCTGTCCAGGTTTTTGTGGGTGTCCTCCCGGGTGCTCCGGTTTCCTCCCACACTCCAAAAAACTTTACTGGTAGGTTAATCGGGTTCTGACAAAATTGGCCCTGGTGTGTATGTGTGTGTCCTGTTATGGACTGACATCCCACCCAGGGTGTGCCCTGCCTTGTGCCTGTGGCTTACTGGGATAGACTTCAGCTCCCCTGTTACCACATGGATAGTTGGAAATAAAGAATAATAATAATAATAATAATAATTCCTTACACTTATATAGCGCTTTTCTGGACACTCCACTCAAAGCGCTTTTACAGGTAATGGGGATCCCCTCCACCACCACCAACGTGCAGCATCCACCTGGATGATGCGACGGCAGCCATAGTGCACCAGAACGCTCCCCACACACCAGCTATCAGTGGGGAGGAGAGCAGGGTAATGAAGCCAATTCATAGATGGGGATTAATTAGGAGGCCATGATCGGTAAGGACCAATGGGAAATTTGGCCAGGACACCGGGGTTACACCCCTACTCTTTTCGAGAAACGCCCTGGGATTTTTAATGACCACAGAGAGTCAGGACCTCGGTTTTACATCTCATCCGAAGGACGGCGCCTGTTTACAGTATAGTGTCCCCGTCACTATACTGGGGCATTAGGACAAACATGGACCGCAGGGTGAGCGCCCCCTGCTGGCCCCACTAACACCTCTCAATACAATACAAGTGAGAGGAGGCCATTTTGGCTTATCTTGCATGCTTGTTTGCGAGTATCTAACTGATTGTAAGATCTCATTCAGCTAATTTTGTGAAGAAGCCAAGGTATTGGCTTCAACAGTATGGCTGGGTAGATTGTTCCATACTCCCACAAACCTTTGTGTAAAGAAGTGCCTCACGGTCTGATTGGAGGAACTCGTCCAGCTCTTTCTTGAAAGAAGCCAGGGTAAAGGCTTTAGCAACATGGCCTTTAAAATTTGTTCCTACTGTACAAGCAAATAGGAACTCAGTCCAAATAAGGACAAGTACAGAGTCCCTAATAATTAGTTTTTACAGGGAAGAATTTTAAGATTCATTTCTGGTTTTCAACTTGTAATAGAATTCTGTAATTACTACAGATTAATAACTTTTCATATTGCGTTAACCCCACTGTTTTAGAGGAGAAGTTATGTCTTAGGCCTTAGTCTTATGTCTTATTTGTCACTTTGAATAAAATGTGGTTTCGCTCTTGTGAAGCTATGTCTTTGGCAACACAAACTGTTGCGGCAACCTGTCTGCCCCCGAAACGGTCGAAACCGCTTGCTGGCGTGTGGCGTTGACTGAAGAGCCCGAGTCTCCGAGAGCAGGGCTGGCAGGCAGGTTTCGTTTGCCGAAAGGAGGAAGCTCAGCCCCTGTTGTTGGCAGTGCAGGGCAGCGTGCGTTTGTTGAAGAGGAACCTGCTGAAGGGGTGCTCGACATGGCCCTGCGCTCCTGTGGTTAAATCAGAGAGCGAAGTGCTTCCTTCCTGATCTACCATAGTGCGCGCTGGGGAGAACAAAAAGTGCAGATTGTTTCTGGGATTTGTTTCCACGCGTCTTTTTAAAAGTTGCCTTTTCTTCTTTTTTTCTCTGCTTGTGCAGGGTGGAAGGATATTTGATGTCATTGTTGGGGAGCCTAGTTCTGAAAGCTGAGTGGGTTTTCAGTGGTTTTGTAGTGTAGGTGAGGACTTTGAGGACAGGGTTTTTGAGAAAATATGACATCTTCCCAAAAAATAGAGGCTTTCATGTGCTTACTTTTGTGTTGTTTCTGAAAATTATTTTTACAACGGAGATATAGCCATAACAATGAAATGTGTGTGAAAATATTTGTCTTTTCAGGATGTGCTTTTATGCCTCAGACCTATATGTTGCTAGGATGTTGGCGCGAAATGGCTTCATTTGATGAACATTTGAGAATTCGGGTCACAGTATTACAAAAAGAAGGAGCTGGGAGAAAGTACTATTAAATTTTTGTTTTCCTTACAAGGCTTGAGATGGACGTGTCTCATATCTGCAACGTTTCCTGTCAGTTCAGCCATTTCTTTCACCTGAATATTTGTGGCGGTGGGTTAGTTCTGCTTTTAATGGATTTTAAAAAAAGTACTAGCATGAGAGACTTAACACCTGGTTGACACAGAAAATGTTGTGGGGGCTTGGCAGAGGTTTTTAACGGAGAAGCTTATCTGACCCATTGCACCCTGGTCCCAGGATTAATGTGAAGGCAGGGGAGTAACTATGACTGAGGAGGTCTTTACAGACTTGTAATGTACAGACTAATGTCTTGCACTGGTTGTGACAGAGTGGTGATTGATTGAATGTTGATTGATTGCTGCCCTGCTGTGTGTGTTTGAGCACTCCCCTGACCGCATGGTTGTCCTAATTTGGACACTGCCATATGGACTGATTCCTTTCCTGGATTGTATGGAGCGAGACAGAAGTTACAAGAGGAATGTCTCTTTTTCTGCTTCCTGGAAGGCAGTACTCCCTGATTAGGTCGGAGCTGCGTGGTGATTAATTTGATATGAGCTGCTTTTCAGATAATTTATGTGCGACGCTATAGTGTGTTTTTTTTTTGCCATGTGTAGATTGTGTAATCAATGAGTCTGTAAATAGTCAGTGAAGTCAGAGCGACTCTGTGGAATCTGTTGAGACAGCAAGACAGTGTTCATCCTGCAGTGCTGAATGGCAATAATATAGTATTTAATAGTAGCGTGAGCAGTTAGGAGCTTGTGTGTTCTAAAACTGCTTTTTAAAGTGGTAAGGCTTTCGATTGGAATAATTAAGTGTATGTCCCAAGCAGGGAACTCAGACCAGCATTACACTGGTGAAATGAAAACTGTGTATTCTGAGTGACCAGTATTGACCACGACTAGGACACAATCAGTGACCATACCTTGAAGATGCTTGGAGACCCGGGTTATTTCTTGGTCCTAAAAGAATGTCATAACACACCTAAACTGAATATCTTATTTGAAGAAAGGAGGGGATGTTGGGGACTTGTTCATAGAAATTAAGTACTTTGGTTTTACTAGCAAAAACATTAAAAAGGACCCTTGGACACAAAAGGATGTGCTTTCAGGACTGACAACAGAAATCCCCTTACACAAAGAGTTGTGGGTGTCAGGAAAAAGTTATCAGCCATGTGCTTACAGGAGATTACATTGGATTCAATGAGGAATGGCAGAGGCCCTTGGATCAGTAGGCTGCTAGTAACGAAGGGAGCAAAATGGACCAGGACATATCCTTTTCACTGGTAACATCTCCTGCTGAATGTTCTTATGATTCTGTGTATTTCTCTTAATGAGAGGATCTATTCAGAATACTCAAAGGCATTGAAAAGCCCTGTAGCGCTTGTTGGAGTTAACAGTGAGAGATTATTTCAAGGACACGTTGAAGTTATGGGGACGTGCAATTAAAGCAGTGAAGAGTATGCACTTCTTTACAAAGGTATTCTCTCTCTGTATGTTACTCGTAGGCATTTTTGGCCTGTCAGATAAACAAAGGTGGGAAACATTTGCAAAATATAAGTAACTTTGTTATTAGTTTGATGAAGTAGAAGATAAAGGAAAAGGTACTTTGAATTCTTGATAATTGCTCTCCTGGCCAAGAGAGGTGATCAGTAGTGAGCTCCTCTGTTAGCGCATTGGCCAGCAAGTTAATGTTTAATCAGCATGTCAGGCATGAAAATCTGAAATATCTTCGGCACTGGGAGGCAACTATCAACAGAGCCTAACAGAAGCATTATATAATCGTCTTTTGTGTTACTTGCTCACGGCAGTTGTGTGTGCTGATTAGCCAACAAATGGAATGGGTAAGAGCCCACTCCTTCCTGGTAGATAGAGCACAGTGTGTCTTATGCAGTTTCACATGCATCTGGCTGTTCAGATATGGTGGACACATTAATCTAAGTGGATTTTGCTTTTATGCACTGAAGCACGTGATGTGGTCATCTTTCAGAAGAGCAGAAATTGGGAGTTCTGTAGGCGGTGCTGTGCTTTGGATGAGATTTTAAACCTGATAAGGTTCTGACTTTGGATCCTATGAAAGTTTTTATAATGGTTTTCCCACTGGGTTTGCACAGTTTGGCCTACCTAGGTTTTCCCCTTGACTAGTTCAGGAGTTTTAGGCTCCGGCTTAATCTTTCAATTCAGTGGTGGTAAGTGCTTCGTATACTGTATGTGCAGCACTTTGAGATCTGTTGAGAAATGGCAGCTCTGTCCGGCGGAAAGGAATTAATATTATTATTGCTCCTGATGCTCACCACTCTGTACTCCTTTATAAAGCAGGTGAGATTATTCATGTATTAACACAAATAAAGTCCCATGAAGGGATTGCTGGATAGTTCATCCAGGTACAATTGTCTTTTGGAAAATATTGCTTTTTTGGAAAAGCAAAATATGCTTGCTGTGTGTTATCAAATTGCTGTTAATTCTCCGTTTCACAGAATTCATGTCGAACTTTGAAGGTGCCTAACAAAGCGAATTGTAAATGGCAAAGACTGGCATGAACCTTTAGGCATGGTCACTTACTAGCAGGAGACTGAGCCAGTGTTGATGCTTTCCATTTATGATGGTTTATAAAGGATTCATACCTCCAGCTACTGTACGGGCGTGTTAAGGAATTATCTAAATATTATGATAATGAAATGGAGAAGAACAAAATGTTCCTTAATGTTTATATTATGTAAATGCAAGTCAGTGTTTCCCAAACAAAACATGTCTTTTAATGAAATTTCTTTTGTGATTATTTCACTGGTCGATGCTCTAACAAGCACCTGCTGTCTTGTAGTGAGACGTTCATCAGATTTGACAAGTTTCTGTGATTGGTGGCCCGGTAACCACAATATGAAGTTCACCATCTAGATAAAAATTCAGAAGCTCAACTCAACTTCCTCAGTATTCTAAATCACTTGTGTACTGCAGTTTTGTTTTACCAATATTGCACCTATCTACCTGTGCGAACTGTGTTAAGGTCACTATTGTGAAAGAACCAAAGAATGCTACTCTGTTCCCACTGCACGGCCGCCTTGAGTAACAGTAACAAAGTAAACTTTTCTCACCTCTTTCTGTTCTTTGGATGTGTTTTGGTAATTCGCAAATTCGGAGTATTTCAGTCTCATCACAGTGTTGAAGTAATTGGTTTTCCTTTGTTAAATTAATTTGTGTTTGGATATGAAATCCACCGATTGTAGAAGCAATTTCTAGTGGAAATATGCACAGTGCTTCGTGGGAATGGTTACAGAGAGGGAAACGAGACGCAGACAAGCCGCCAAGGAGCAGTAACTCAGAGCCATGAGGTCGGTGTTTGTGTTGGGGACGCTCGATTCAACAGCTGGTGTGAAGGCGGAGGGCCGGAACTGTCAGTGTAGGCGGACGGCGCAGTGAGTCACCGCGTCCCTGTTTCCAGGGGCAGGGTGGAGGAGACAAAGGGCCGCGGCGTCCAGCCGAAAAACCACATCGGTCGGGCAAGGCCGCGCTGCGAGCCCTGAGCCGGGCCCCCACCCCCAGAGAGTGCGCCGACAGTTCACAGTCCTCGGGAAAGGGTGCCCGTTCCTGCAAGAGAGGCGTCCTCTCTCACGTCGGTGGGAGGAGCGAGGTCGCTGGATCGGGTTGTCACGTCCAACTCGAGGAGAGGCTCGTTGCGGACCGTGTTGGCGCGCCGCGAACGCAAGGTTATCTGTGTGTAGACATATTTTAAGCTCAAAAGGCTTGTTTGTTTTTTTTAATAAATATCGCACTTGTTAAAAAATAGCCCAGGATCCCTGATATAGTTGGTTGGACCCGGGCGGTAACAGGGGCATCCTGAGCTCTCAGTAGAGGAAGAATAAACTCGTCATGGTTTATTAATTGGCTTGCGTATTAGTGTCTTAAATCATGTGATTGCAGTTAAGAGTGTGCTTTAGGTTCTGTGAGATCTACTCCATTATGGGGCATGTGAGAACGGGCACTGACGACCTGGCCTCCTCTGGCAGTCAGGCAGGAGTGTTTTAACGGAGGGCCTTGATTACATTCAAAGACCGCTGCAGTTCAGCCACCTTAATATCCACACATTCTGTGCCTCTTGCAGTAACCTCCTTGCGTGGAAGACTCAGTCGGAGCTGTTGCCTGACGCTTCTTAAACTACCGTGGTCTATTTCTGCTGCCGAGTACTGACAACGGGGAAAGTCCTAAACAAAACGGGGGTTTTTAATGCTTCTTAGGAAGCTTGTTCTTCTGCTTGCTGGTCGATAGGATAGGCTGAATTGAGACACCCGCTCTTGTGTTTTTACATGTGAAAAAGCATTTAGGTGAAGTGCAGTGCTGAAATGGAAGTCATGTAGGCCGAACAGGTTCTCTTGGACTCTTTATTATAAGGACTCATTTTGTCACCAAGCAACTAACTTATTTTGAATTAAAAGTTGTCTGATCCTCAAGGCATAAATGATTCTCAGTCAGCATTTGGGCCCAAATGATCTTTAAATTACTCAATGTAGCACACCCCCCCCCGCTACATTGATGTCATGTAGACCAGGCAGATTATCTTGGACTGTTAATTATATTACTGTTTGTCACTGTGGAGGATTTGTCCAGCGCTGGTGCCAAACCTCTCTGCAGGACAGGATGGTAATGCGTCTCCATCTATCAAATTCTGCCTTTTTTTCAGCCTGCCTCGGTGCCAAGCCTGGTGAAATCAAGAAAGACAGAAAGATGCCGGAGGCTGGACTGTTTGTACACTGTCACTCTCTGTCTAGCGTGTTCAAAGCCAGTGATTGTTACCTGACAAGGTGCCGCAGTATGTGTTAGCCCACATTCTGGAAGACCATCTGACTAAGCGCAATGGGGAAATCGAGAGTCTGGCCAGAAGGGTCTGGTTGCTACAGAATCCCACACACAT